GAGTGGGGGGTGCCGCAGCTGCAAGCTTGGGGGGCTAAGGCCTCTAGACTATCGGATATTTGCTGCTGCTGCTGCTGCTGCTGCTGCTGCTGCAGCTGTTGCTGCAGCCGCTGCTGCTGCAGTTTGGTGATGCTCCTGCGTGCTATGCAGGCCCTGTTGCTGCTGCTGCTGCTGCTGCTGCTGCTGCTGCTGCTGCTGCTGGCGCTTCTGTATAGGGGTCTGCTGCTGCTGTGTCTGTTGTGTGTGTGCTGCTGCTGCAGCAAGTTCGTTGCTGCTGCTGCTGTTGCTGTTGCTGCTGCTGCTGCTGCTGCTGGTGTTTTACATATGCTGCTGCTGTTTGAGTGTATAATACCTTGTTTAAACCCTCTCCTGCTGCTGCTGCTGCTGCTGCTGCTGCTGCTGCTGCTGCTGCTGCTGCTGCTGCTGCTGCTGCTGCTAGCTAGTCTGTAGAGCTTACGGGCTCTTCTCTGCTCGTGCTGCAGCAGCAACCTTCCGTCTAGGGTTTTGAGTTTGCTGCTGCAGCAGGCCAGCAGCTGCATGCGCGTTTCTATGCCGTTTCTGCTGCTGCTGATGGGGTTGCCGGTGAGGGTGAGGTGCTGCAGCTTGCTGCAGCAGAGCAGCAGCTGCTGCAGCTGCTGCAGCTGCTGCAGCTCGTTGTCTGCTGCATCTAGGGTTTCTAGCTCCCCTAAACAACTAAAAGGGTTTAGGGTTTTGAGTTTGTTGCTACGAACCCTCAAAAAGCGCAGAGAGTGAGATAAACCCTCGAGGGTTTCGGCAGCAAACTGTAAACCCTCATCTTCTTCTTCTTCCTGCTGCTGCTGCTGCTGCTGCTGCTGCTGCTGCTGTTGCTGCTGTTGCTGCTGCTGCTGCTCTTCTTCCTCTTCTTCTTCTGTATAATAATATTTATTTTTATTTTTTTGCTTTTGCTGCAGCAGCTGCAGCACAGTCTGTGTTCCCGCTGCTGCTGCACCATCACCACCACCACCACCACCACCACCACCACCAGCAGCAGCAGCAGCAGCAGCAGCAGCAGCAGCAGCAGCAGCAGCAGCAGCAGGAGGAGGAGGGGGGCGTTGGTGGTCTAGATAGAGCGCATGCAGCTGGGGGCATCCGCGCAGCCCCGAAACCCTTTTTATATAATTATAAGAAATATCGATTTCCTCAATAAAAGGCAAAAAGTTTATATTGCTTATATCTTTTATTTTATTGTGGTGTATATACAGAAAACGCAGACGGGGGAGATAAGATAAACTAGGTATTGTTTTTAGTTTGTTTGAATATAAATATAATACCTATACACATAAACACAAACCCTAAACCCTAAACCCTAAACCCTAAACCCTCAAACAAAGAAAATTAGAAAAAAAAAGAAAAAAAAATGATGCATATACACCCTATAAACCCTAAACCCTAAACCCTATAATTAATAATGATAAACTAGGAATTGTTTTTATTTTGTTGGAATATAAATATATTACCTGTATATACATAAACACTAAACCCTAAACCCTAAACCCTAAACCCTTAAACAAAGAAAATTCCAAAAAAAACGAAAAAAAAATGATATATTTACACACTATAAACCCTAAACCCTAAACCCTGCTAAACCCTAAACCCTAAACCCTAAACCCTACTAAACCCTAAACCCTAAACCCTACTAAACCCTAAACCCTAAACCCTAAACCCTACCTCTAGAGAGGTGCAGCCAGCGAAGGAGGGACAAGCTTCTAGGGAGAGAGAATTTAGGTGAGCATGGGTGAGGCGTCGTAGCTGCTGCAGCAGCAGCTTTTGTTTTTCTTGTTTCCGCTGCTGCTGCTGCTGCTGCTGCTGCTGCTGCTGCTGTTGCTGCTGTTGCTGCTGCTGCTGTTGTTGTTGTTGTTGATCGTGCTGCTGCTGCTGTTGTTGCTGCTGCTGCGGAGAAGGAGAAGGCTGGGAACCATCGTATTCCTGCTGCTGCTGCTGCTGCTGCTGCTGCTGCTGCTGCTGCTGCTGCTGCTGCTGCTGCTGCTGCAGCGAGTGTGCTGCTCTGGGGTGCATACGCAGCTTGGAAGCAGCAGCAGCAGCAGCAGCAGCAGCAGCAGCAGCAGCAGAAAATGTATGGGGTTTAAACAAAACCCCAGGCTTATATTTGCTGCTGCAGCGCAGCAGCAGCAGCGGCGAGACCTCAATGTCACCGCCCATTCCCTAAACCCTAAACCCTAAACCCTAAACCCTAAACCCTAAAAAACCCTAAAACCTATCGAATTGACTAAAAAAAGTTTAAAAATTTTAAGGGTTTAGGGTTTAGGGTTTAGGGTTTAGGGTTTACGTATAAACCCTAAACCCTCTGCTCGCCTCGATCGCCGCAGCCCCTGTAGGTGACCTCGCTCCAAACCCTAAACCCTAAACCCTAAACCCTAAACCCTAAACCCTAAAAATATATAATTTTAAATTATATTTTTTATTTAATTAATAAAAAAAGATTTCAACTTCCTCTCAGGCTAAACCCTAAACCCTAAAC